GACGCTGCTTCTCTACCCTGCCACTGGCCAGGCCTTGTTAGTCATACCAGAGGTCCCCTGAGGTGGGTCACGGTAACTATTTATAGGCGAGGGAACCCAGGCTGACAGCAGGGGAGGAACCTGCCCCCACGTGCATTCACGAGGCACTTGGCAATTGTTGAACACCTGGTATGAGTCCTCATTGGATTTTCTGTCACCTGTGATAGCCCAGGTCACAGCTGCAAGCCAGCAAGCCAGGGCTCAAGCTCATGTCATCCTACTTTGCTGCTACCCAAACTGTTGAAGGTAGGTCCCTGTCCAGGAAGCCAGCCAGGAACAGAATCTAACGCCTGTGTCGCCACACACATAGGCGACCACCACCTCTGAGCCTTTGCCCAAGCTGTCCCCTCTGTTAGGAACACCAGGCCTCCTTCCTGGAAAGCTCAGGTCTGTGGCAATTGTAGCTAGAGCCTAGCTCAGGTACAACTCTTCCAGAGAGGACACAGGTGCTCAGATCTATCTCTGTCAGATCATTTAGCCCTCTGTGCCTCAGTGTCCTCATCTGTAATACACCCTCACGTTATAGGCTTGTTGTGGGGTTAATGTGATAATACATGCAGTGTGCTGAGCGCAAGGCCCACTCTGGATGTGCACTCGGTGAAAGTTGTTGATAAACACGAAACCACTCAGGATCCATGAGGATGACCAATAGCTTCTTCGTGTTCCCTCCAGGAGCGGCAGATCAGGAGCTGCAGGTGACTCAGCCTGACATGGCAGTGTCGGTCGCAGCTGGGGAGTCGGCCACTCTGCGCTGTACCCTGACCTCTCTGCTTCCCCTTGGGGCCATCCAGTGGTTCAAGGGGGAGAAGCCAGACCGACAGTTGATCTACAGTTACCGAGGAGGCCACTTCCCCCGGGTAACACCCGTGGCAGACACCACAAAGAGAAACAACACGGACTTTTCCATCCGCATCAGTAACATTACCCCCGCAGACGCCGGCACATACTACTGTGTGAAGTTCAGGAAAGAGGCTTCAGGGGATGTGGAATTTATGTCTGGACGGGGCACGGAGCTGTCTGTGCGTGGTGAGTACGGCAGGGGACTCCTTTGTCCCCTCCTGTGTGACAATAGGTCAGTAACAGCCCTCCTTTTTTGAGTAACCTCTAAGAATCAGGGAGTTCTGGTTGCTTATTTCCATGGTCTGATGTCACCCCATCTATAATTAGGCTGGAGGCCAGGAGAGGCCGTGCTGGGTGCTCAAGGCCCAGGGC